CGGTGCTCTTTTCCCACAGACCCTCCCCAACTGACACTATTATATTGTGCAGTCGACAAAATCAAAAACAGACAACGCGCATGTACGAAATTAAAAATATCAAATGACGACAATTTACCCATCGCATCCAGTATATCTATCCGTTGGATTGGTGTATAATTATCAGGCGTTTTTGTAGGCGAAATATTTGTTAATAAAAATTGCTCTTTTGTTAACTTTTTTTACTAAAAATATGATTTTATTTTTAGGTTATAAAAATGCGTCTCGATAATCGTACTCATTTAAAAATTTTATTGTTGAATTGTTGTTTCTTTTTTCATAATAAATATTGTTTAAAAAACGCCTGATAATTATGCACCAACCCAATTTCTCTCTCCTTCTCTCTCTCTCTCTATATATATATATATATATATATATATATATATATATATGCGATTTATCAGGTAATAGTTCCATAACATTGTTTTATTCAATATAGTATACAAGAACATTATATTCCAACCAATATAAGGAAGATACTCGAAGAAAACATACATAAAATTCTAATTAAAAAAGATTTTAAAAACGTAATAACTTCCCACCTAAAAATCTACAACATATAAAATACATTTCAGTCTTGGAACTGATAGTGTTAAATAAATCCAATCATTAATAAACATTCATACTCTATCTACATTATATTGCAAAATAGTTTTACAGATTTTGTAAACGATTTGTAAATCAGGTCAACATGGACGAAGCAGAATTTTAATTTAAGTTTAATTTTATAACTTTATAAACACGAAAAATCACGATAAAATATTCTGTATAAACTCGATTATATTGCGAGTTTTATATGATCATTTTTTAAGCAAAAAAAAAAAGTAGGGTTGCACTATACACAGGTAAATTGATTTTTTGATGGGCTTAGAATTCCCCAATTCACAGGCAAAAGACACAGATGCATGCTGGGAGTTTTTCCTAACCAATAATATTAAACCACTTTTCGGTTTCATTCGACTTAGTTCTGTTCTTGTCTTCAAGTCAGAACGCTGCAGTCTTAGTTCGTGAACATTTTGCCTTATTACTGTTGTTTTGCCTTATGGCTGTTGCTTTGCCTTGCATATGTTGTTTGACCGGTTCTTTCATTACTGGGAATTTTTGCCGTTCAATTGGAACAGTTTAAGTTTAAAGTCAGCCCACCCGAAAATCAATATTAGTAACAACAATTGGGTGCAACTGAGACACATCCCCAAATGAGGTGGGGGTAACAATTTGAATGTGGGTTGGCCCTGAAAAGGGCTGTTTTTGCGTTTTCAATCATGCAAGGAAGGAACTTCTTCCATGGACCATCATAATAATAATATACGATAATTTTTATTTATAATATATATATATTTTTAAATTCTAATAATCTTTTGTGTTAGATTTCAACTGCTTAAATTTATTGTACGCCGTTTTTTTACAGACATTAAATATTACCTTTGATTTTTGCGCAAAGTGTAAAAAATCAGTTTTTTCGATTTTTCACCTTCAAGTTTGTAATTTTTCCAGCCAATCTGGACTCAAAACCGGTACTGAAGAATTATCTATGAAACAAAAAAAAAAATTCATCGAAATCGAATGAAAACTGTGGAAACGCATAAACAATATCCGATCACACACACATACATACACACAAATTTTGAGAATTATAGATATAGATATATATATCTATAATTATAGATATAGATTTTTTTAATAATATTTTTGCCCTGTTATTGTTTATTTTAAACACTATCAATTCTGTTTGTTAGGTATTTCTTCCAGTTACATTTCACCATGGCCAATTACTCGACACAAGGAAAATAGTCCATCTGTACACTTTTCCTGGAAATAGAGATAGAGTATATTCTAATAATAGGTAAAATAACTACTTCAGAGACAATGAGAAATTCGTGAGGGTAAAAGTAGTTTTTTTTTCTTGCACAAATTTTCGAACGTTTGGTCATGATCTCGTGTGTCTGTGAGTGTGTCTGCTCCCAAAAGTTTGGATAATTTAACCCTGTAAAAAAAAACTTACACTTACAGCCTTTTTCAGACTCACTCTATGTAGTTTAAATGGGGTACGTATACTGCAATCTCGTAAAGTTGCCAAATTATAATTAAAGCTGCTCAACCGGTTCCCATGTGAGGCACTGTATACGAACTTTTCGGTGACATCCCGTATATATCAAGTCTCCCTCACACACCCGCACATAATGTCCGTCTTAATTAGCCAATAAAAAGATAAATGATGGTTTTATTCATTGAAGCTGATTCGGTGACATGAGAAATAAAAGATTGTTATAGTTCCCATCGATATTGATTAAACTTTTTCTTATCATTTGACCCTTGCAGTCAACATCAACCGACGAATTACATGGCCTCTAAGTGTTACCATTAAAGAAAGAATATTAAAGTGACATGCGTGGATTTCAGAGAAAGTTACAAGTAGTAAGTCTTTACACAAAAGTCGGCGAAGGGCAAATCATCTTGCAATAACTCATAAAGGAAAAACCTCATACAACATTTAAAAGAACAACACACAATTAAAGCGGGAACTCGAACCGGGCAGTACATTGTGACCCTGATTATCTTATCAACATTTTCTTTATTCTACGTACATTTATATACGCTACAAATTAAACGAATCACAACTATCTATTAATTAGGTCTCTCCAAAAAAAAACTCTATACCTAAAGTTCTTTTTAAACTTAGAAATTTAAAAAAAAAATCCTTTATTGAAGCTTTTAGTTTTAATCTCAATCTAATTGGTTAAATTTAATATTTCCAATAAACAATATATTCTGCTGCATTTCAAATCTGAATTACATTGACTGGAAGGATGTTACCGCAATTTCTAGTCATCTGTCAATATATTCAATTTATTAAAATATCTTTTAAAAAATAAAATATACTTTTCTGAAACTTTATTTGAGAAATATTGATATAAAGTTTAATTAATCTGATTTGAAACAAATATTACTTACTTTTATTTTAAAATATCGCATAAATACATTTTTAACGCGTGTTTATGAGCACAGTGATCAGTGAGGATCGAACTCACATATTCTAGTAACGATCATGGCTAACCATTACTGTACAGCAAGAAATCGAAGCGGCTGTGATGCTTACATACTCTATCCAACGCTTCATAGATAAAATAGAGAGTTGAAATTTCTTGGGCACACAATGAGGAAAGAGGGCTTTGAAAATTTGATACTCACAGAACAGATTAAGTGAAGAAAAACTTAGGAAAACAACTCATAATACTTAATAGGCTTGAGTAAATGGATGGCAGAAGATTTAGGAGAAATAACAAAAAGACAAAATTTATTAAAAGCTAAAATAGGCAGGAAATTGTGGAGAGCCATGATCGCCTACGTCCTGAGGGTTCATGGCACATGAAGAAGCTTAATATATATAATTACTGTTTTAGTGAGTTCCATCCGTACAACGTGCCTCCGACTTGTGCTAGACGAAGCTGACCTTAGTAAATATTGTGTTTTTTTTTTCATCTTTAATGGGCGTATCGAGAAAATTGTTCGAAAAGTTATTTAAAATTTACTCGAATTGTAAATTGTATGAATGAAAATTAATCGAAAGGACAATTATACTAGATGATAATTATTCGAAATCCCAAATGTTTGAAATACGTATGTAGTCTTCCTTTGAGGGAGTCAATGTTGATTTCTTTAGAACTAATAACGGCCTTGAAAGATGTCATAGGGCTTTTGCAGCAAGTATCATCCTATCATCCCACAATATGGAAATTCTTAGTTGACTATTTGCGTGCAGTATCAATCATATAACTTAAGGTAATAAGGATTTTTTCTTAGTAAATTTTTTTATTAACGATAGTTGTATTTTGAATAAATTATCATTAGTGTCTTTCGTCATTTTTACATTTTTATTGCAATAAAGAATTTTGCATTTAGAATAATTATCATTTAGTGTAATTTTCCTTTCGATTAATTTTCATTCAAAGAATATACAATTCGAATAAATGTTTTTTTCGAACAATGATCACATAATCTTACTAGAGGTTTAATTATAGTGGCCATGGACCAGACTAAGTTAAACTTTATAATTATATGAGGAACGCCTATTGTAAACTACAGAAATTTATGAATACTATAAATGTCCACTGTTAGCTCAGCAAATTGTTTAAAATTCGCATTCAAAAACGTCTTTGTTTTTTAAACAGTATCTTCCTCTTTCAATCGGATTCTTTGCTCTAACAATAAAAGTAAAATAAAAATTTAAACAAAACTTTTTCTCCTCTTCCTCGTTTTCTCCTTTTTATGACAAAGGTTTTTTTCTTCCTTCAAGTCTTAATTGATATGGGCTTGGTCGTCAATATAGAATTTTGGAAAGATTAAAAAAAATCATATGAGCTAGGCCAGATGGTTTAACGATGTTTTAGAAAAGTAATTAGGGCTGAATTGATCTTGAAGGAAGATTTCTTTTTTCCATCTGGGCTCCATCTGGAGTAGCCATCAAAAATCTGGTCAACTTCAGACCCACTTAGATAAGACAGATTTGTTGAATTTTTATGAAACACAAATCCGACAAAGAGAAAGTTTCACTTAATACATGTTTCATTACTACTTTGATCCGGTATTAGTTGAGTTATTATCTGAGTTGAGCTCGGTTTTCTTGCTACAGGGTTGTAAATCAAGTTGGCCTACTTGAGCGGTCGCCAGGTCGAGGTTAAGGGAATTTTCCGATATATCATTACCAACTTAAGATTTGGTCTTTTGGCGGGGACTTAGATACGAAACGGTTTAGACTCACATTCTGAATGGAGAAATAATTGGGGTGGGTAAAATGGTGATTTTTGTGGGGGGTTTCGTAAAGGAATGGGGTAATGGTATTTTGAAGGAGACGGATACAGGTACAGGTATCTGATACGCTCTACTGATACGTATCCATGCGATAAAGAGAATTTGAGAGGTTTTTTTAAACATTTTCTTATCGTTTCTTTCTTTTTTCGGAGTTTTGTTTCTATTTCCTTGATGTCTTTCCTTCGCTTCTTTTTCTTTTCAATTCTCTTTTTGCTTTCATAAATTCCTTTTCTTTTCATTCGTTCTTTTATTTCTTTCCTTTTCTCTTTTCTTTTTTCCTCCCATTATTTTTCTTCCTTTTTCTTTCCTCTTTCTTTTTCGTCATACTCCTTTACTTCTTTTTCTCTTTTTTCTCCTTCTTTTTTTATTACCTCTTTCCTTCTTATTCTTTTTTGCTTCTTTTTTCTTTCATCTTCTTTTTTCTTTCATTCAACTTTTCTCCCATTTTCTCTTTCCTTTCTTTTCCTATTCTTCTCTCTTTCATGACTTTCATCTCTTTTTCTCTTTCCTCCTTTCTGTTTGCTTTTTTCTTCTTTTCTCTCCGTTTCTCTTTCCATCTTTTTTCTAGTTTTCTTTTTTCTCCTTTTTTCTTCCATTTTTTTCGTTACTGATTGCTTTTTTCTTTTCTCTTCCATTTTTTATTTGATTTTCTTTATTATTTTTTTTTCAGCATTTCCTTTTTTTTCACTTTCCTTCCTTTCTTTCTCTTGCTTTCTTCTTTAGCTACTTTTTTTCTTTCAATGACTTTTTCATTTAATTCTTTCTTTTCGTTTTCTCCTTCCGTCCATTATTCTTACCCTTTCATCTTTCATTTCTTACTTCATCCTTTTTCTGTTTTCTTTTCCTTCCATTTGTTCTATTTCTGTTTTTTATATTGCTTTTCTTTCTTTCTTTCTTTTTTGCTTGAGGATTCCTCCTTTCATTTTCTTTCTTCACTGCCTCGATCTTTTTCTTTTTCCTCCCTCCGCTTTTTTTTTCTTCTTCTCTTGTCGGTTCTTTGCTTTCTTTTCGCCTTTCTTTTTCTTTCTTTCAACTCTTCTTCACTTTCCTCCTTTCTAATCTTTTTCCTCTTCCTCTTTGTATCTCCGTTTTTCTTTTTTTCCTCTTTTAATTTTTCTTTCTTCCTCTTCAAAACTTTTATTCATATTCACTTATTTCTCGCCACTTTTTCCTTTATTTTTTCCTATGTTCAGTCATTCTTTCTTTTCTTAGTTTTACACTGTTTTTCTTTCTTTCTTTCTTTCTTTTCTTTCTTTCTTTCTCTTACTTTTTTCTTTCTTTCTTTCTTTCTTTCTTTCTTTCTTTCTTTCTACACCTTTCTTTCTTTCCTTCTTTCTTTCTTTCTTTCTTACTTACTTTCTTTCTTTCTTTCTTTCTTTCTTTCTTTGTTTCTACACCTTTCTTTCTTTCCTTCTGTCTACACTTTTCTTTTTAACGTCTTTTCGCTAACCCTCCCCCATATACAAAATGACGTTTTGACCTTCAATGCCTTTACTAATTTTAATAAGTCTCACCAGACAAGCATCATGAAACTCCATTATCAAAAACTCAACGTCTAACGTCAAAGTCATTCTTAAATAATCGCTGTGAAAACAAATATTTTTAAAAAATAAAAAAAGGATTCCTTCAACTTTATTCAAGGGGTAAGAATGTTTTATTTACAAAACCCCTATTTAAAGAGAGTTGTCGAGTTCAAAGTCATTTTCATCCTCGAGTTAACTTGGATAATTCTCTTGACTCTAACCACAGATGTTAATTTCGTCACCATTATAAGAATTCATAAAGTTAGAAAGGGTATTTAAAAAACAAAACAAACTTGAAGCCTGCCTGGAGCAAGCTTCACTTCTACAATGGAGACACCGGAAATATTACGATAATGGATGATTCAGCGAAAGAAACATTTTCATAGTAGTATTTAGTGACTTAATACGGTCACATAACAAAAAGTTTCTTTTAAATATTCCAGCACCTTCCTCAGTATGCAAGTACATCGTAATCATGCATAGTTTTCCACGAATATATATTTATTATTTGCAAGTATTTCTGGCTAGTTCCAAGTGCTCTAAGAACGTTGGGCATGGTTGTAAAGTTGGGGTTTAATCATTTTTAACTACCCTAGCAGGATCCTACTTTTTTATCTTTCAATTTTACTATTTGGTCTTTTCAAATAGTAACGACATCTATTTCTTTGTTTACAATATCCGAATTAGATAATACACTTAAATTTCAAATTTGGAAAGAAATTTACTTGTATTCTCAGTGATACTTTCTACCATTGATCAATTCTCATTCGTTTGCATAATACATAGTGGACCGCTGTTCCTACCCAGTCATACTTACTCCAAATATATGGTTCAATTTTATTCTATAGTCTGTTGAAGCAGCGACATCCATGAACAAATGTTCTTGTTTATGATAATAAAATAGAGTCGACTGTTCTGGATTGAGTGCCCTGCTTAATTTCAAAGTCCAGAAGTTCAATCCTCATATGTGGCAGTGAATGCTAGACAATTTCCGGACAGATGAAACTTGAGGAGTTCGAAATCTAGTTCTACAGAAAGATGCTGAGAATACCATGAACCAAACATGAGCAACGACGACGTTTTCGATATAATGAAAACAAAAAGGACACTTATACATAACAACAGAAGGAGACAGTTAAAATTTCTAGGGCACATAATGAGAAAAGAAGGCTCGGAAAATTTGATACTCACAAGATATAAGGGAGGTAAGAAGGATAGAGGGAATCAGCGTATATCATACTTTACGAGCTTGTGTAATTAGATGAGAGAACAGAGATTAGGAGAGATGGTGACAAGACAAATTTTACTAAGAGCTTCAAAAGACAAGTAATGGTGGAGAATCATGACCACCAATATTCTCTAGGGACGCTACACACAGAAGAAGCAGTCAGATTCTTGATTTCATTATTACATGCATATAATCTACTATCCAGCATACTTGGTCCTAGTTTATCCACCTTACCGGAGTAACAGTGGTCATATAATACTATTTTAATAATACCACCACTAATTATACTCATCGTGACTATTACAGATTTAAATATTTCTCTTAAGTTTACCAGAAATCATCACAGGTATCTGATACGCTCTACTGATACGTATCCATGCGATAAAAAGAATTTGAGAGTTTTTTTTTAAACATTTTCTTTTCGTTTCTTTCTTTTTTCGGAGTTTTGTTTCTATTTCCTTGATGTCTTTCCTTCGCTCCTTTTCTTTTCAATTCTCTTTTTGCTTTCATAAATTCCTTTTCTCTTCATTCGTTTTTTTTATTTCTTTCCTTTTCTCTTTTCTTTTTTCCTCCCATTATTTTTCTTCCTTTTTCTTTCCTCTTTCTTTTCCTTCATACTCCTTTTCTTCTTTTTCTCTTTTTTCTCCTTCTTTTTTTTTATTTCCTCTTTCCTTCTTTGTCCTCATATTCTTTTTTGCTTCTTTTTTCTTTCCTCTTCTTTTTTCTTTCATTCAACTTTTCTCACATTTTCTCTTTCATATCTTTTTCTATTCTTTTCTCTTTCATGACTGTCATCCCTTTTTCTCTTTCCTCCTTTCTGTTTGCTTCTTTCTTCTTTTCTCTCTTTTTCTCTTTCCATCTTTTTCCTAGTTTTCTTTTTTCATGTTTCATGATGCATACTCTTGATCATCATCATCATCATCATCATCATCATCATCATCATCATCATCATCATCATCATCATTATTTATGTGCCGTATATCTTCTGTATATGGGTGACCATGGCTTTCTACAGCTTTCTTCCCCTTGTAGCTTTAAGCGACGTTTGATTTATTACCATCCTTCCTTGTCCCTGTACTGCGTTCCTTGCACCCAAAATCTAGACAAGGTATTTCCTGTGTCCCTTTTGGCTTCCCGTGAGCATTAAATTTTCCAAGCTGTCCTTTTTCATATCCCTCCAAAATTTCAATTTTGTCTTTCTGATTTTAAGTATGAGTTTCTTTTTGATGCACATTTTCTTTCAAACTTTCTTATTCTCATGTTCAGTCCATGACATTCTCAGCTACTCTCATTTATGGAGGCCGACCGCAGTGGGTGTCAGAGAGCCATTGTGAACTCCACAGTCCTTTCATGAGCGGCGTATAGTATGAACTTCAGCAGAGCTACTTACAGTTTTTGAATTAAGAGTTATATTTCTCCTAGACTGGTTGTAAACTAGGGCTGAAGAGCTCAAACTGTTTAACCCATAGCTGGGAAAAGGAGAAGGATTCATACATTTCCGAAGTGAGATTTGCGTGTAAGTGAGTGTAACAAACCCGACTGGAATTCAAACTCTCCTCTACGATTTCTCATTCTCAGTCGCTATACATTACATTCCCAGGTTTGTTTGCTCAAATTCCAGTTATTTGCACTATTCCTATTAAATTACTCTTCCCATCATTCAACTATTTCTGTGCTCTTGCAGTGCATCCACTTGATGCTTCTCACTTTCTATTCTGTTACTAGATAAACGACTGCTATTTTGTTGTGTATTGTTTATTTTAGTTTTCATCATTATATATTTTGACTTTGCTACCAGGATGAATTCCATTTGTTTTTAGTTTCTTTTGCCTAAGGACATTGTTGTTAATAGTATTAAAGATACAATTGAAATTCAGGGAGACATAATGAGAAAGGACGGCTTGTAGAATTTGACACTCACACGACATATTGAAGACAAAATGAAAGGGAAAAAACGAATAACTGACCTCAAGATCTTGTGTAAATGGATGGCAGAACACGGACTGGAAGTGGTCGTACGGAGACATTGCTTAGAGCTACAAAGAATAGAATGTTGCGAAGAGCCATGATTAACCACCTAACTAGCATGTGAAAATGGATGGTAGAACAGAACCTGGGAAAAACAGTATGGGGACAAACATTGCTTAACGCTACAATAAATAGGATGTTGTGGAGAGCCATGATGAATCTATCGAACGAGCATTTGAAAATGGCATGTCAAAACGGCCAGGGAAATTATAGTACTGGGACAAACATTGCTTAGAGCTACAAAGAATTGGATGTTGTGGAGAACCATGATCAGCCTACCTAACGAGCATGTGTAAATCGATGGCAGAACAGGACCTGAGAAGGATAGTACAGGTACAAACATTGTTTAGAACTAAAAAGAATAGGATGTTGTGGAGAACCATGATCAGCCTACCTAACGAGCATGTGTAAATCGATGGCAGAACAGGACCTGAGAAGAATAGTACAGGTACAAACATTGTTTAGAACTAAAAAGAATAGGATGTTGTGGAGAACCATGATCAGCCTACCTAACGAGCATGTGTAAATCGATGGCAGAACAGGACCTGAGAAGAATAGTACAGGTACAAACATTGTTTAGAACTAAAAAGAATAGGATGTTGTGGAGAACCATGATCAGCCTACCTAACGAGCATGTGTAAATCGATGGCAGAACAGGACCTGAGAAGAATAGTACAGGTACAAACATTGTTTAGAACTAAAAAGAATAGGATGTTGTGGAGAGTCATGATCAACCTAACTAACGAGCTTGTCTAAATGGACGGAAGATCAAAGCATGGGAGGAATAGTGCTGGTACAAACATTGCTTCGAGTAATAAAAGTTAGGAAGTAGTGAAGACTCATCACCACCCACGCCACATATAGAGGAAGTTAATGTGTTATATTAAAACTCTTCCTCTCAGTAGAAGAACAAATTTTAGCTTTTGTGTCGTAATTAGAGACATTACCATCTATTCCAAAAATGGTTTCTTTGACGAAATGAGAATTCTTAGTCAGAATGCAAAGTCTTATTTATGTTAAATATTGGAATTGTGTTTGATAATAGTTCTTTGTCTGCCTATTGTCTTTTAAAAGAATGTCTGCTCGAGTTATTGGTTAGCAGTTTCAGTAAATATTGAATTTCTGCCACTAGTTGCGTGTCTTTTCTATAAAAGAAAGGAACAGAATTATTTATTCTATCCGATTCCAATTTCTTTCAATCTTTCACGCTTCCTTCTCTCATATTCTTACCCTATTACTTTCTTTTGATATCTATCACACTCTACTCATATTGATCTATCAATCTTTGCTCATATCTATTTTTGAAGCTGTTAATGCCACCTTTCATAAAGCTTCAATATTCGTTATTCACTTTCATAATATATACAAGGTCATGATGAAAAGCTCTCGACACGACACACTTCCCAAAATCAGACCAAATGGTCAGCTTTATCTTTTTGAAAAGGCCCTTCTTGGCCGGGCTGAGAACCTTTCTACGCTATTACATATATTGAAAAGAATTAGCTGTGTGAAAAAGTTTCTGAAACGCGTTTTTTTTTTTTGTTTGTTTTTTAAACTGGAGCTTGAATACAGCTGAAAGACGTTTTGTCGTTGTGAACTTTTGATAATAAAAATTGATTTATTGTAATGTAACATAATTCAAGGAGAGAACTGAAGCTTAGTTCCATGAAAACCATTCCTCAGACAATGTTTCTCTATTGTAATAAAAATGGTAAAGACACGCCTTAATGTCGACTGCAACAGTCGAGCAAACCGGGCAATTTTTGAAACATAACTCTAA